TTTTCTTCGAGAATTCGGCGTGGGACTCGGTCATTTCCTTGTGGAGGGCGAGGCCAGAAGCTTTGCTGTCGTGTTCAGCAGTCTTGCAAGCGTGTTCCTCTTTTTTTTGGACCACTCTAATTTTTCCGATCCGCCAACCTTGTGGCTCAATATCGGCGAGTGCGGTTTTTATGGCAGCGACGTTGTTGTTCTTGGTGTGGGTTTATCACGTCTGTTGTGGGAGTCCTCGGATCTCTCGCCTGGTCGGGACCGGTGTGTGTACGTCGAGCCGTGGCGCTTTCCGTAAATTTTGAAAAAATACGCGCCTTCGCGCCTTCTGCCGATAAGAACCACCGGAAACCCTAGTTACGGTTCCGTGGAAAAAGTTACTATTCGGTGAAAAAAGTTACGTATTTTTTCGGCCTGATAATAATACCCCTTAGCAAGATACTGAAGTCGTCGTTTCCAGTCACGTGATCCGTACATGCGTTTTTGGGTATCGCCGTTTGCTTGCGTCTTACGTGCTTCGTGTCTAGACCGTTTAATCGGTCGCATACGAAAACCATGCGTGGGTAGACCAGGGTTTGGGGGGCAGGCGATCTCCCTCTTGGTGTTGTAACCGTTCTTGACAACATCCATGCGCGCAATCCAGAAATTCTCTCTCTGCCGCCAGTGAATCAGNCGTTTGCTTGCGTCTTACGTGCTTCGTGTCTAGACCGTTTAATCGGTCGCATACGAAAACCATGCGTGGGTAGACCAGGGTTTGGGGGGCAGGCGATCTCCCTCTTGGTGTTGTAACCGTTCTTGACAACATCCATGCGCGCAATCCAGAAATTCTCTCTCTGCCGCCAGTGAATCAGAGTACCAGGTTTGTGGCCCTCAGGCAGGTATCGCGGTAGGGTCTCCAGCTCAAACACGGCGAACTGGGTCCAGTCAAGATCAAGTGCTCTACCCAGTCTATCCCCGGTTCCAAGATGTCCCGCAAGGCAAGTGCTTTTGCGAGGGAGCGATCTCCCGTTGTTGCTGTCGTCCCCGCACGAGATCCATTTAGGGTAGGGCCGACCGCTACGTTGGTGTTCGTACGCTCCATCAGGGGTGTTACCCCTACTCTTTGCAGTGTTCAGCCAGGTGTCGCGTCTTCTCCATAGCAGCTGGCAGTGTTGGTGGTTACTCTCTGACGCTTGTTTCGACCTCTGATAAACCGCGCGCATTTTCCCAACTTAAGTGTTTTAGCTGCTATTTGACCATTGAACACGCGTCCTCGAGAGGACGCAGCATTGTTCCCATAGGACCGATCACCGATGNGGGGGGGGGGGGGGGGGGGGGGGGGGGGGGGGGGGGGGGGGGGGGGGGGGGGGGGGGGGGGGGGGGGGGGCTTCGACTTGAAGCCCAAGTCGCCTCCTCCCCTCTCCTTTATCCGTCTTCTCTTCCACGTACCCTCTGCCTGCTACTTCCAAGCACCGTCCAACTCCTCCTAGTATCAATCACCTTTCTCACAGTTTCTTTCCGCAGAGTTATCCTGGTTTCTCGGTTGATCGAAGTAAAAAAAATGATTGTTTTCCCTCTCAGTAATGCTCTTCAGCTCCCGCCCCCCTCCTCCGCCTGTACACCGGGCACAAAACACTACTCCAATAAAACACACTACTTCGTAGACAAGATCGCACGGATACACGCAGCAAAAAACGTTCCGTGTTATTTGACATCTCGTGTCATTCGTTGCCCATGTCACATATTTGGCGATTTCGACCCAACTTGGTGCGTCGTCCACCCTCCTCCCCCTTTCAAAGCCGCTCTTGTGTCTGATCTCTTCCCTGCGTTGTCCCGCGTTACCCCGCTCCGTTCTGGTTCTCGAAATTCGTTCTCGAAATTCGTTCTCGTCCTCGCATTCCATTCCCGTTGGCGTTGCCCCATTCTCCTCTCGATTCCCCGCTCCCCGATTTGGTTCTGGTTCTCGTATTCCGTGCTCGTTGGCGTTGCACCATTCTATCTCATTCTCCCCTTGATCCAAACCGGTCAATCGATCCAGTCGAATGCTCCTCGCTGCTTCGAGCCGTCGATCCGATGTGGTCTCCGCTCCCGTCGCAATCTCCGGGGTCAACCAACTCGTTACTGCCGCTGCTTTCGAAGCCTATTTATCAGATCCGAGTCTCAAAAAAAAACATGTTGCCCCCCCCGCTTTGGTTATTCGAACACGATGTCATCCTCCTTGAAGAGGTCTGCGGACCGCACGTGCTCGGCGAAGATCATCCGAGCCAGGTACCGCCCGATGTGCAACTGGAAGGCGGTAGAAAAAAAAAAGAAAAAAAAGTAACAAACGAGATTTCCGGGAAAACAACTCAAGGCGGGCCGTGTGATCGATTTCCTTTCGCCGTAGCGACCACACCAACACGCGGGTGAGCACCGTGCTAGACGGCCCCGGTATCTGTACTTTATATGGCGTGGGTTTTAGACAACCTATCCCCCCCGTAGTGGGCTGATGACATCACAGACAGTGCCATCAAGGGGTGATGCAAGGTGAAAACGGAGCAGGCAGCAGGACAAACCCACACTTGGCTGCCAGCTGCGGGGTGACTGTTCCCAACTTCAGCAGCTCACAAAACAGAAGTTTTTGACTCGAACAGCCCAGCGAACCTTAACGAACCGAAACAAAAAAAACTGTGAATCCGTCAACAGTCTTACAACCAGTACATGCCTCCACGTGCTGGCTTGCTCCCCTTGCGAAGTAGGCACGACAGCAGCATCGATCGCACGCACGCACACCTGTTCGATTTTCTTGGACTTGCAACCCTCCGGCAGAGGGACCGAGTTGGTCACGAACACCGTGTCGACGGGGGACTCTTCCAGGATGGCCACGGCGTTGGCGTTGAACAGCCCGTGCGACGAGCAGACGTAGATGTTCTGCTCGGCGGAGGCACAACAGGAGGTGACGGCGGGGGGGGGGG